TTGAATTTAATATTAAATCAGTAGCAAGAAGACCTGGATACCCCTGCTGACACATGTCCTAGAGCAAGAAAGCATTTAATTAATCCTCCTCCTGATGAGACAACAATTAAGGCATGGAGGCCGAGAAGTGAAGGTGCATTAAACTCTCATACTTGGGCATTTATATGCATCCTCGTCGAGAAAGGGAAAATTAAATGCTCGGCAAACCGAGTTTGGCTTTAAATACTCGACATTCCGATCATAAGAAGCTAAAGCTAAGCCCATTCCCCATAAAGGTGAGGGGCATACTACTGCCCTATCTCTGACAAATACCTGTTTGGATGGATTATCAGCAATCATGAGTTTTTGAAGGGTATAAATAGTTCTCAAAAACGTATGCAAAGGTACGCAAAAACTTCTAAAAGAACTACACAATATTTTCTTCTTTCCCTTTCTCAAAGAACTGAGTTGATTCGTGTGGAGGGATACGCCGGAGAGCACTCTGGCACCCTTCTAACCTATTTTTCTGTGATACGCAGGATCTCCCCACAATCTTCTTGGGACCGGTTAGACGACCCAACAAACAATTCATCACCAGTCCTTAGGGTCCCTTTGTCCCTCTTAACTTACTTCTTGTTGTCAAAACCCACTATCGATTGGGTAAAACCTCAGCCAGAGGTGATCCGAAACCCAGAAAGCAAACATTCTATCCGTCAGAATTTACTATCTTGACAAACCATAGTTCATCGTGAAGAGATCTGTTCCTACTATTATTGTGCAGAAATTTGCACGCCAATTTGGCGTCATATGTGGAAAACGATTAATTTTTTCAAATAATAGTGACCATGGTGAATACTCGACAGAAATATAGGGGTCCTTAGCAGAAGAACCTCGATTACAAGCTTTTTTCGGTTCCGAAACAAAGGACCAAGTTGATGGTGTCGATAGGAATATCTTCATTCAATCGAGGGGAATACCCGCCAAACCAGTATGGGCATCAAGTTAGGAGGATCCGCCCCATTGGCCTGTCAGTGAAATGATAGAGGAGAAGCTTGGGGGTCGATTAAGGCAGTTAGAAGCGTACAACGTGAATGTCCTCAGTCGTCTCAGCGAATTTGTGACTTCCGACGAAGGATCCAAGGACTCGTTCCGTTCACGGGATCCCTCCATCAAGGAAGTGGAAATAGAAGATTTGCGAAATCACCTCAACAATAAAGCAGAAAATTCAAATGCTCCAAAGCGTCCGAGAGCCCAAATGCATCCCCCAGGTGTCCAGGCCAAGAAGGCTAAGCCTTTAGTTTTGGTACGACCTCCGTCGGGGACTGTCCGGCAAGGGGGCGTGGGAGGAGTCCGAGGGGGTCAACAACCCTCCCATTCGGCACCCAGGAAGGAGGTACCACCGTTAGCCCACACAGGGACCTTAGAGGGGTTCCCTCGAGTTGGGAATTGACCCAGAGCTCGGTTGAAGGCCAGGAGGAGTAAGACCATTCAGGAGGATGACGCCGATGACGAAACCATACAATCCCCCTTACCAGGGACATTCGGGAGTTGGAGGTGCCAAAGAAGTTTATAGTGCCAAGGTTCAAAACTTATGACGGACGATCTGATCTTAAAGCTTACCTCAGACAGTACAAGCAGATGATGTCCCCTTTACCATTTGATCATCGGTTCTTTTGCCGGGTGTTCTCCATCAATTTGAGAGACTCCCTTATGAAGTGGTTCGAAACTCTCCCTCCTAACAGCATTAGGTCATGGTAGGAGTTAACCAGGCAGTTCTCTGCCCAGTTTGTTATAGGAAGCAAGTGACCTAAGGATGTTGGGTCCTTACTAACACTCAGACGGAAGGAAGGGGAAACTCTTCCGCCAATGTGCACTCGTTATTGGGAGGAGATCAATGAGGTGGAGGATGCTTAGAAGTCATGACAGCCGCCTCGTTCAGGCTTGGCCTAACACAGAGACACAATATCTGTACCGGTCATTAACCAGAAGACCCTATCACAGACTATGAGTGAATTAATGGCCCGGATAAATAAATATTCTCGAATCGAGGATGAGATGGGAGGGGGCAGAGGTAGGGCCCCCACCTCTAGGAGAAAAGACAAAGAGAAGGAGGACACCCCCAGAAGGGATTTGATACCTCCCTCTGGATGCTGCTTTAAAGGAGTCCACACCGTCGTATTAAAGAACTAATTTACAGACTGCTCCAGAAGATCTGGGGTGAGCCGTTCTTCAAATGGCCACCTAAAATGCAGAATGATCCATCCACCTGGAATCAGAATGCCAGATCCTCCTATCATTGAGATTTTAGGCATCGTACCGAAGATTGTAGGGTGTATAAATATTTCCTGGAGAAGTTTGGTCTAGGACGGGCATCTAAAGGAATACATTGAGCCAAAATCCGAAGAGGTTCAGGGCCCCAATAATTCGACTGCTATCCAGGACAACGTAATTGACGTGATCCACGTATGTCCACTAGAGCGTTCGACATCCAAAACCTTGAGTCCGATCTCAAAAGAGTGGCCTTCACAAGGAAGGTAGCTGAAGAATATGGGGGCTAACCCAGTAAAAGGGCCCAGATTGGCGAGCCCAACATCACATTCTCTGACATGGATCTTGTAGGCATAGTCACCCCTCATAACGAAGCCTTGATTTTAACACTAAAGATTGACAACTTCAATGTTAAGAGAGTACTGGTGGACTCCGGGAGTTCTTTTGAAGTGATGTACTCTGAAACCTTGAAACGTATAGGACTTGGTCCTAAAGATCTCACCAAAGTTAGGACGCCCCTCATTGGATTTAACGGCTCATTCGCCCTGTCGATTGATAAAATCACATTGCTAGTCATCATTGGGCCTGTCACTATCAACACGGAGTTTGTTGTGATCGACACGGACTCGCTTTACAACGTTATCATGGGACAAGCCTGGTTGCACGCACTGGGAGCGGTACATTCCACTTATCACCAAAAGCTGAAGTTTCCAACCCTAGAAGGGGTGAGGGAGATCCGAGGGGACCAAACGTCTGCCAAGAATTGTTTCTACTCAGCTGTCAGAGTAGGGGTTTCCATTTAGGAGAAGGGACGGGCCCCAGAAGTGATCCTGGATAAATAAAAATCACAGTCCGAGCGTCCTGGAATAGACGACCCTCGGACGAATCTGGCAGAACGATCAGTGGAAAACCTTCTGAGGGTACTCTTAATAGAAGGAGAGGAGGGAAGGTACTTCCTGATGGTTCTGCCATGCCTTCACCCGAACAAGCTGAGATGATAGATTTTCTAAAACAAAATGTAGACGTATTTGCCTGGAACGCAATAGAAATAAAGGGGGTGGACCCCGAAGTGATAACTCATAAGCTTCATGTTGATCCGACACATAAGCCTGTTAAGCAGAAGCCACGGCACATGGCGCCGCATCACGCCCAGGCGGTGAATGAGGAAGTTGATAAACTCCTACAGGCCAACACCATCCGGGAGGTCCAGTTCCCAAAATAGTTGTCAAATACGGTCTGCGCAAAGAAAAAAGAGAAAAATGGCGTGTCTGTGTGGACTTCATTGATCTGAACAAGGCCTGCCCTAAAGACGACTTCCCACTCCCGAAGGTGGATCAGCTAGTAGACGCCACCGCAAGGCATCAACGCATAGCCTTCCTGGACGCCAAGGCAGGCTATCATCAAATTCCCCTCCATCCACTTGATCAAGAGAAGACTGTCTTCATCACTTCGAGAGGGGTTTATTGCTACAAAGTCATGTCATTTGGGCTGAAAAACGCCGAAGCTACCTACCAAAGACTTATGAATCGGATGTTCAAACGACAAATCAGTGACACCATGGAGGTCTACATCGACGACATGTTGGTCAAAAGTAGAATGAGTTGTGACCACTTGGCGGACCTGGCCAATACGTTCTCCACTCTCCGAGAATATGGGTTAAACCTGAACGCGGTGAAATGCAGTTTTGGAGTAAAGTCGGGAAAATTCCTCAGATACCTGGTAAGTCGACGTGGGGTCGAAGCCACCCGAATTAGATTCGAGCTATCCTGGACATCCGGAGTTCCCGGACCGTACGCGAAGTCCAGAAGCTTGCGGGGATGTTGGCAGCACTCAATCGTTTCATCTCGCGATCCTCGGACAAATGCAAACCCTTCTTTAGAGTCATTAGGGGAGCAGGGAAAAACGCATGGAACTAGGAATGTGAGGACGCCCTCAGGGGAATTAAAGAGTACCTCAGGGTCCTCTCCACTCTGTCTGTCCCAACCCAAGGGGAGATGCTATTCCTATACCTAGCCGTGTCGGAATTCACCGTCAGCAGGGTACTCGTTTGTGACCATGAGCGACAGCAGAAACCAATGTATTATGTAAGCAAGGCGCTGCTAGACGCAAAGACAAGGTATCTACCCCTGGAGAAATTAGCTCTGTCATTGGTCACGACCACAAGGAAGCTGATGCATTACTTCCAGGCTCACCCAATCACTGTCCTTACAGACTAGCCTTTGAAGGCAATTTTGAAAAAAGCGGACCTCTCCGGGAGGGATGCTAAATGGGCAGTATTTCTAAAGATTAATGGTCTCAAGGGGAAGAGATTGGGTATTGTGAGGAATCCCTTTTTTACATTTGCCAATGAATCAGTCCTGCCTCAAATATTTAAGTACCACTTCGAAACATTAAGGTACATCAAACATTCCTCTCAAATCAATGCAAACTTTTCTGAATCTTATTCCGTTAATATTTTTCCCTCTTACGTTACTTCAATCTCTGAGACCCTACAGTGGCACGAGTCTCGCATATGAGATCCCCCCCACCCTCCCCCTCCCCCTCTTTTTCTCTTGCATAAGATACTTCAATCTGATATCTTATATAATGCTATAATCTTAAACAACAGGAAAAGAGGAGCAGTTTTAGTAGACAATTTGGAAATAGCCAACATTGATGTCATCATGAACTCCTATATGAGTGGTGAAACAACAGCAATGTTGGCTGAATTTAAATTGTCCTTAAATGCTTACCTCAAAGAGCTCGTGGATTCCCCTGTTCGATCTTTGGCAGACATAATAGCTTTTCAACACAAAATTCTCTAATTTGGTAAGTATATCTACAAAGATTCGTTCATTCTGTGAAGAGTTATCACATTATTCTTTTGATCTCTCAATGTCTGGAGTTGGCACGACTAAAATCACACACTGGATGGTACTGTGAACTTGTTTGGATGCACTCATGCGCAGGAGATGATTAAGGAATTTGGACAAGACATTTTTCTGGCAGCTGAAGCCACGGATGGGATCGGTGATGCAGAAAAGAAAGCTTTGCTCAAATTGGCAATACTAACACAAGCTGGGTTCGTGAAGTTGATGGTGGAGAATAAGCTGGATGCATTGGTGACTGCTGGCTCTGATGTTGCTCCTGTGCTTGCAATCGGGGGGTTTCCGGGAATTAGTGTCCCTGCTGCATACGATATCAATAGCAAGGGGGTTCCTGTTGGTCTCTGTTTTGGTGGATTGAGGGTTCTGAGCCTAAACTAATTGAAATTGCATACAGTTTTGAGCAGGCAACTAAGTCTAGGAAGCCTCCTACATTTCAACCTTGAACCTACACTATTTTTTCCTGCAAATTTTTATGTTACACAATCTTAATTGGTCTAGAAAAGTTCTAATGACTGTAACACAACGATTAATACGTGAAAAAAGGTCGAAAAAGGAGAACACACAAATATCCTGTAGTTATCTAAAGATGCTAAAACTTTTCTTGTCTTATTTTTTAAAACCAGTTTACTGGGAAAAGAAACTTCAAAGTCTTTTTTACTAATAATATAACACGTACCTTTACCAAACTGCTTAAAAACATAACATTTCAAATCATGAAATGGCAAGTGCATGGTCACCAATGTCTTCTCTTTGCCAGTGTATAGAATGTTTGCTGGTAGCTTGCCTTCTCAGAAGCACTAATTAGAAAACTGAATAAAATTCACAAGTTTTAAGGTTTAATAGCAGAATGATGGTCATTAGACTCATCACTAACTTCACCCAAATTAGTTAATCTTATCCAACAGGTCGGATGGACAAACAAATTTTCTTTTTGGGGTGTTAAGCCGTCGAAGCATTCTTGAGGTGTCATATTTTGGCGAGCTTACCTCGAGCCCCTATGTCTAGAAAGAAAAGTTCACATGCCAGTTCCTGTTCTGCGGCACGGTGGCAGGACTGCTAGGGCATTGGCTCCCGATGTAAATAATTTGTAGGGGTTATGCAAATACACATGACAAAAGCAAAGTATGTTTGATAAGGCGTTAGTTCGGTCTCTCTATCATGCGGAATCCATATTCCCTACAAATGAAAGACCCCAGGCCTGCGAATATTTGCATAAAAATCCATATAGAAGTCACCAGCATAAAGGCGGCAGAGGGGTGCACTGGGTCATACAACACTCCGCAAACTTCAAGGTTTGAGCTTTTGACTTATTCTTTGTTTCGTGTTTGAGTCACATAAATAATTTCTAAATATTTAATGTAAGATTGATTATTTTTAATTTTTTGAAATCGAAATGACAAAAATGTTGTACATTTGTTGTGTTGGACCGGCTACTTTATATTCAACCAGAGCATGTGGCTCTCCACCATTCTATCTGCATCAATCCAAAGCTTAATTAAGCAAAGCCATGAATATTTACACCTCACTGTTCCTGATTCTTGCAGCCTTATCACTATCTGAGTGGTCACTCGCCTTCAAGAGCCATGAACTCTCAATCAGAGAAGCCACTGTGCAGGACCTCCAAAAAGCCTTCAAGCAAAACCAGCTCACATCAAGGCAACTAGTTGAGTTCTACATTAAAGAAATCAATAAACTTAACCCGGTTCTGAAAGGGATCATAGAGGTGAACCCCGATGCTTTATGCCAAGCAGAGCAAGCTGACCAGGAGAGAGAGGTCAAGTCACCTAGGTCACTGTCTGGGTTACATGGTATTCCTATCCTCCTTAAGGATAATATTGCAACCAAGGATAAGCTTAACACGACTTCCGGATCGTTGGCGTTGTTAGGATCAGTGGTACCCCGGGATGCCGGTGTGGTGATGAAGTTGAGGAATGCAGGAGCCATTATATTGGGGAAGGCTAGCTTGAGTGAGTGGGCTAATTTTCGGACATTGACTGCACCTAATGGATGGAGTGCTAGAGGAGGACAAGGAAAGGTGAGTAATAGACTCTTGCTGTTTTGATTTCTGAATTTCCATTGAACCACATTAGATCACACACGGTATGTTTGAATTATGTAAGGGAAATAAATAAGTAAATCCCATTCAATCTTTTTTGCTGGAAAGTCTCGTGAGCTGGGCTATCCTTTTAACATAAAAACACGAGGGGTGAAAGTGCCGGCAATGGTTGGTCATCAGTACATGAGAAATGAAGTTTTTTATGGTCTGAATAATATTGTTCTTTTAATTAAATCAAAAAGTCCTACCCAAAAGTCATTGACATATAATCAGGGCATTATCTTGATGCAATGGAAAATATGCCTAAAGAGAGATATCTTCTTGGCTTATTGGCATTGATTTTTTTGTGACTTCTTGGCTTTCAAGAAATAAGAATTCACTAATAGATGTCTTCTGCAATGATTTGCAGAATCCATATGTTCTATCGGCGGATCCTTGTGGCTCAAGTAGTGGATCAGCAATAGCAGTGGCAGCAAACTTGGTGGCAGTGTCACTGGGGACTGAAACGGGTGGTTCCATCATATGCCCAGCCAGTTTTAATGCAGTCGTGGGCATTAAACCAACCGTTGGCCTCACTAGCCGAGCAGGGGTCATCCCAATTTCTCCAAGACAGGACACCATAGGGTAGGTGGTCTCATGTGCTTAAAATTCTCCATCTGATTGTTATGCAGATAATGAAAACAAACTGGACATGAATGTTGGAATCAGTTGGAATGTTAATAGTAGTCGTAGGATCTCCAAAATATGTGTTTTTAGAACAAACATGATACGGGCTGAGAATGGAGAGTTGCAGAGAGTCAGCCAAGATTGGGATGGGTGTCAACTAAGGTTTTTTTCTCATTGATTACATGATGATATGATGGCAATCTTTGACATTAACTTTCTTTCATACTTGGTTGAGCAGACCCATATGCAGGACTGTATCAGATGCTGTTCATGTTCTTGATGCCATTGTAGGCTTCGACCTCAATGACGCTGAAGCAACTGGAGAAGCATCAAGTGCATCCCCCATGGTGGCTACACCCAATTTCTAAAGACTGATGGTCTCAAGGGGAAGAGATTGGGTATTGTGAGGAATCTGTTTTTTACATTTGCCAATGAATCACTCCTGCCTCAAACATTTGAGTACCACTTCCAAACATTTAGGTACTTCAAGCACCCCCCTCAAATCAATGCACATGATAGCTCAAGCTTTTCTGAATCTCATTCCGTTAATATTTTCCCTCATATGTTAGTTCAATCTCTCAGACCCTATAGTGGCACAAGTCTCGCGTATGGGCTGCCCCCCCCCCCCCCCCCCTCCTTTTCTCTTGCTGTCTTGCATACGATACTTCAATCTGATATCTTATATAATGCCATAATCTTAAAAAACAGGCAAAAAGGAGCAGTTTTAGTAGACAGTTTGGAAATAGCCAACATTGATGTCATCATGAACTTCAATCTGAGTGGTGAAGCAACAGCATTGTTGGCTGAATTTAAGTTGTCCTTAAATGCATACCTCAAAGAGCTCGTGGATTCCCCTGTTCGCTCTTTGGCAGATATAATAGCTTTCAACCAAAAATTCTCTGATTTGGTAAGTATATTTACAAAGATTCATTCATTAATTCACTCTGAATAACTTTTTCTACCATACTATTCTTTTGATCTCTAACTGTCTAGAGTTGACGCGACTAAAATCGCACAGTGGATGGTACTGTTAACTTGTTTGGATGCACTCATGTGCAGGAGATGATTAAGGAATTTGGACAAGACATTTTTCTGGCTGCTGAAGCCACGGATGGGATCGGTGATGCAGAAAAGAAAGCTTTGCTCAATTTGGCTAGACTAACACAAGCCGGGTTGGTGAGTTAATGATGGAAAATAGGCTGGATGCATTGGTGACTGCTGGCCCTTGTGTTGCTTCTGTGCTTGCAATCGGGGGGTTTCCGGGAATTAGTGTCCATGCTGCATACAATAGCAAGGGAGTTCCAGTGGGCATCTGTTTTGGTGGATTGAAGGGTTCTGAGCCTAAGCTGATTGAAATCGCATACAGTTTTGACCAAGCAACTAAGTCTTGGAAGCCTCCTACATTTCAACCTTGAACCTACACTGTATTTTTCTTACAAATATTTTATGCTACACAATCTTAATTGGTCTAGGCAAGTTCTAATGATTGTAACACAACGATTTATATGTACTATGATTATGGAGCACAGTGATATTGTTGTAATCACCTTCCCCATCTCTCTCTCTCTCTCTCTCTCTGAGTCTGTATGTGTTTAGAGCAAGGAAGGACAGACAAGGTCACCAGAAAAGCTTATATTTATCACCAGTGCTATAGGGAAATAATTTAGAAATATATTTTGGGGACTTAATGCATTGTGTGCAATGGATTATTATTGGGATCTACTGATAATCTAATGTTGGGACCCACTGACAATTTAATAGTCACAATCATTAAGTTCCCAAATTATGTCCCAATAACATTATTCTATAAAAGAAATTTCTTAGCAAGATAAACACATAATGCTAGATGGTACGTTTTAATGTGTGGAGAGAGCTCCTCGAGAGGGGGAGACAGAGAGATAGAGTACTTGCTAAATTGTTTAGAGCTGGGCTATTGGAGGCGGTGTGGTGAGAAAGAGGAAAAAAATATTAGGTTAACAGTGATACCACGTCATTATTGTCACATGATGATATCATCTAATAAAAACATAATAATAGGCAGGTGGATCTCATATATTATAATAATCATCATGTCATGTCATTTAATAACCATTCAAATGCGGTTCACTTTACCCATTTATAGATTTCTTATTGGATAATAACACCTCGCATGTTAATGATGATGTGATATTACCGAAATACCCAATATTTAATCAAGGAAGAGATGAAAAAATGGTTAGTTTTTAACCCTAGTTGACTACTATTTTTAGGGCAGAACAGTAAAATTTGAATTTATCCTTTCAATAGAAAATTCGATTAGATGAATCTCACATTATCTGTGAATTTAAAAAATCCGATTCATATGGGAAAAAGACTTTTAATTACTACAAGCCGAGTTTTTGCTTAGCAACGTATATCCCATCAAATTTTGTGAATTCAAACTTGGGATATATGAGCCCCAATAATTTGAATTCAATGCACATGTCTTATCCACCTTTATCCATCGAAGTAAACACTTCCTAGAATTATTATAGTTGTTAATTTTGGGATTCTTGTTAAAATTCTATTAACATATCATTTGACCAAGTTAAATCTATCTCAAATACATTAATCTTCACCTAAATATTGCCGAACCTCAGTTTTGTCTAGTTAATGATGCTTTGCCCGCAACCTAGTTAATGATGCTCAATGGTCTTAGCCATGCCAGAGGTGTACGGCAATGGCCAAGGTCAAAGAGGTTGAAAGAACTTCGTTCCAAATTCAAAAGCTTCACCACATGCAATGGAAGAGGTGACCATATCTTTTTTCCTCAACTTCCTCTTCACTACTACAATGGCAGCTCTCTAAGCCTATTTGGGTCACAACTCGATCCGACAATCGGTCCGGAGAGATTCCCATCGCCAGTGTGGGTCTGGCGTTTTCCAGCTGGCTCGTGGAGTTGCGACGTTCACGAGAACCTAATTGTCGTGCCTTTGTTTTATTTCTCTCTCGAATTTTTTAATTTGTTGGACAAAATTGAGATTTGACAACTTTTGTGTGTGGTGTAGTGTAATCCAAGCTAGGCTCTATTCATATCTTTATAATCTCCCGGCCATTAATTTAAGCAGGTTCGTCCCATGTCTATGTGATTGACATAAAAAATAATTCAGACCATACAACAACCATTTATTAAATGACTCTACCTAGGATTCATGGATAACACAAAATATCCAACGAATTTAATTTCCTTGGGGAGAATGTAAAAACTATTTTTTTAGTGTTCACGAGTTACAAGATACGCCCTCATTTAACCCATTTAATATATGAATCATGTCGGATCGTGTAGGTTGACATGATTCATATGCAAGTAATGAAATACAAGAGTGTTAGTGGTGTTAATTTTTCAAGTAATTGTGAAATGATGTGTACAAAAATCGATTCTGAATTCAATGTTTTACCATGTAGTCCTCCGGCTGTTGCTAACTAGGATTGATATTTCTTGAAAAGACTTCCTAGTCACCCTTATTTTCTCTCTCTTTCCCTCACACACACACACACTCTCTCAAAGACATGGAGATGAGGAGGCTATCTCCAAGAGAGTTACACAAAGCACACAAACACTAGCTTAGCTCCACTGTCAAATCTCACTTTTGTCTAATATTAATAAAGCCAAAAAGATCGAAGAAATCACCTGCCAATTTGTCAAAAAAATAGGATTATCTGTCCAACGAAATATTGCCCACCCTTTTGCCGGACTAATGATACTTCGCCAGACCCGCCGATCCTTCTTACCTATCAGTTAGGAAGCAAGCACGAATACGAGATATAAATACAATATGATACAGATAACATGAAATGATAAAATCTTAAAAACTAAGACACGGATAAAAAGCATGGATATCGTCTCATTATAGTATATCTATAAAGTGAATGTTATTAATTAAAAGAAAATAAACAAATATTTAACTATTTTATTTGCTTACAAATATTTGTTGCCAAAAAATAGTAGAGTTGAGTTTGAATTCTCAAACTTATATTGAGTTTTTTGCGGTTCAGATCAATTCTAAACAAAAGATAATTTATATCCAAGGGTCCATATTATCTTGAACTTTTTTGCAGTTCAGATCAACCCAAAAATATTGATTTGACGAATCCAATTCATTCTCAATTTTTGTTTTCTCGCCCAAGCCAATTTTCATTTTAATTAGTCCAAATCAAGGCTTTAACTTTTCCCAAATTTACGTCCAAATCTCTCTACCCCACAAATCTCCCAAATATTTCTCAATCTCACGCCTCTATCTCACTCTCACAAATTTTCACCAGTTTTCATTTATGATTCTTTGTTTTCCTAATTCTCTCTTTTCTCTCCTCTCTCCTCTTTCTTCTCTCTCATGTCTACTATTCATTTGATTGTCAATCTCAAGCCTAAAGGTTCCCCACAATTCTCAAATCTCTCTCCCCCCACAAATCCCAAATCCTATGCCCCTCTCTCTCAGTTTCCATATTCAGGGCCATAATTCTCATTATGTCATCTAAACAAAAAATAAATTATATCCAAGGATCCATGTTATCTTGAACTTTTTTGTAGCTTAGATCAACTCAAAAATATTGATTTGACGAATTCAATCCATTTTCAATTTTTGTTTTCCCGCCCAAGCCAATTTCCATTTTTAATTAGCCCAAATCAAGGCTTTAACTTTTCCAAATTCACGTCTGAATCTCTCTATCCCACAAATCTCCCAAATATTTCTCAATCTCATGTCTCTATGTCACCCTCACAAATCTTCCCTAGTTTCCATTTATGATTCTTTGTTTCCCTAATTCTCTCTTCTCTCTCCTTTGTCTTCTGTCTCATGTCTACTATTCATTTGATTGTCAATCTCAAGCCTAAAGGTTCCCCACAATTCTCAAATCTCTCTCCCACCACAAATCCCAAATCTCATGCTCCTCTTTCTATGTTTCCATATTCAGGGCCTTAATTCTCACTATGTCATCTAAACAAAAGATAAGTTATATCCAAGGATCCATGTTATCTTGAATTTTTTTGCAGTTTAGATCAACTCAAAAATATTGATTTGACGAATCCAATTCATTTTCAATTTTTGTTTTTCTGCCCAAGCCAATTTCCATTTTTAATTAACCCAAATCAAGGCTTTAACTTTCCCCAAATTCACGTCTGAATCTCTCTATCCCGCAAATCTCCCAAATATTTCTCAATCTCACGCCTCTCTCTCACCCGCACAAATCTTTCCAAATTTCCATTTATGATTCTTTGCTTCCCTAATTCTGTCTTCTATCTTCTCTCTTCTTTCTCCTCTGTCTTCTCTCTCATGTCTATTATTCATCTGATTCTTAATCTCAGGCTTGAAGGTTCCCCGCAATTCTCAAATCTCTCTCTCCCCCCACAAATCCTCAATCTCATGCCCCTCTCTCTCAGTTTCCATATTCAAGACCTTAATTCTCACTATGTCATCCCCAAATCTCTCAAAACTCATCTCCAAATCTCCTTCGCTACTGTAAAACATCCATCCATCGTCGCCCAGTAGTTAGTCATCCACCGCCATTACCAATTGTCGCTACCAAGTATACATATACTTCTCTCTCATTGTCTCTTTCTCTCTTCTCTCTATCTGTATGCTAATGTTTTCCTTACGAGAATAGAGAATCACATTGTTAGTTTTTTAATCAATACTCTAATTTTGTTTATATCCTGAGGTCTTTTGTTTTTTTCTTGTAGGTGACTAGCAAGGATTTCAATATGTATCAATAGCCAAATCGAAGGGTAATTACATTTTCATTCTAAAATGGTATAGTGGTTGTAAGAATTGTGACAAAAAATTTTAACTGTAAATAGTTTTAGTTCCTTGGGTTCATAGGATAGTTTTTGTAATTTTTGTCAGCTTTACATCCTTCGATTTAATGTGTATATCTGTTTAGGAAGTGAGAGACCTCTTGAGGAAATCATTCTCTGACTTCGATTTTTTATATTTTTTTGACATTTTTTTGGGTTGTTTGTTCTTAAGTTTAGACTTATAAAAAGGTTGATATTTTTTGAGTTCCTATTTTTAGATGAAAATTTTCCTATTTTTAGGTTTATTTTATGGAATGTTACAATTTATTTTACATTATATACAATTAATAAGATATGTGTAGTCTTGGGTTACTATAAAAAGGCGTGGGTTCTACAATGTTGTTTTTTTGTGAACACATTTAGTCCTCTCTTTATTTAATTTAGTCATTATCCCTTATTCATTGTTATGGTCTCGGTATATAACGGACAAAGCATTTTTAGATTTACTTCAATGACAATTGCAAGTTTATTGACAATCAACTTTAATGACAATTACAAGTTTATTGACAATCAACTTTTAGTCCAATTGTCTTTCTTTTTTATTTATTGTAATTGAAGTTTTTTTTTTTTTTTTTTGTTATATAGAACTAGGGGTGTCCATGGACCTGGTTATCCACAACAAGTCCCGTTACCTGGCCCGAAGCCCGATATGTCCGATAGTTGGCCTGCCCGAGCCCAATATCCTTTAATAAAGGGTTTGGGTTTACCCCTAAATCCATTAATCGGCTCGAAATCGAAGCCCGGCCCAATAACTCGCCCAAATATTCGGCCCAATAACCTGCCCACATATCCGAAGCCCGCCCGAAGCCCATACCCGCCTGTATGTTTTTTTTTTTTTGATCAAACATATATGTTTATGTTAAAAGGTGGAGACTTTAGATATTAAGACTGATGTATTTTTTTTCATGTATTAAATATTCTAACTTTTCATATACAAAAGTCTTTAATTGATAGAATTGTACAAATAATAGATAGGTGGGTAGGGGTCAACCTAATTGGTATGTACTCATTCTATAGTGATGCAATTTCTTTTCTATTCATTTATTAAAATTATTCACTATTTAATTTTTGTTCATTTTGATTTTGACTATACTTTTAATTCAAAAATATAATTTACAAAAAAATTAAATAATATTGTATATTTTTTTAATAGGGCCCAACAAACCTGCCCAAAACAGGCCCCACCCAAAAATCCCACCCGCAAAGCCAGCCCAATAGGTAGGTGACGAGTTGGGCTGCAGGTAGTTTACACCTACCCGAAATCAAGCCCAGCCCGCCACTCGTCCGAGTACGGGCTTGGGCCTACACTACCCAAGCCCCATCCGAAAAAAAATTTCGCAAGCCGAGCCATGGATAGCCCTATATAGAACTTTTAAACACCGACAATTATTTTGAAAATTTTTTTATTTGTTCTAGTGTCTTTTAAGTATGGATAATGACTTTTATATATATATATATATATGATAATTTGGTCACCTTTATTATCTCTAACTGTCTTTCTCTCTCTTCTCATCCACATTCGCAAAAGGAAATGAGGAGGCTCTATCTGTTTTTAATACTTTCATCAATGGTATTAGCTATGTCGGCGGCAGTGTACCGTATTAACCGAGGACCGAAAGAGGTTGAAGAGTGGTTACAAATCCAAAAGCTTCGACATGCAAAGGAAAAGGTGACCGAGCTTCACTTCTACTTCCATCAAAGACTTAACGGCGAGAACCCAACCGCAGTGACGGTGGCCAAATCCCACACGACTGATACATCACCTACCTTCTTCGGCTTAGTTAACGTTATTAATAATCCATTGACAGTTGAGTCCCAATGAAATTCCAAGGAGATTGGTCGAGTCCAGGGACTTTACGCTGCAGCCTCACTAGAGGATGTGGCCCTATCTGGTGTATTCAAATTCATCTTCAGAGAGGGGGAGTACAACGGCAGCTCTCTAAGCGTGTTGGGTAACAACCCATACCGACTTCTGGTCCGAGAGATGCCCATCGTCGGTGGATCTGGCATTTTCCGAATGGCTCGTGGAATAGCTAAGTTTACGACGTATTTCCGCGAGGTTCCTTCCGAAAATGTTCCTCCTAAATATGTTACTGTGGAGGTAAATATTGTAGCCATGCACTGCTAAGTTATGGCGTCTTGAATTTTCTTTTCCTTTAATTTGTTTTCTGGGTTGGTGGTGTTCTTGCATACTTCAGCATGCATGTGTCTTACCAGATGTTTCAAGTTTGTAATGTTCGCGGAGTGATCTTTGTTATGCCTTTGGCCTCTATTTTATCGATCTGTCGGACTTTATTGATAGACAACGGCGAGGGTTAACAGCATCTAGCTCTGTGTAGTTTAGTGTAACCAAAGCTAGGCTATTCATATCTGTATAATCTAGCAATGGTGTCATAATAAATCCATACAACTATTAATTCATTTAAATGGGTATAGACTGCAAACATGAACATGGCTTGTTAAATTTAGGGATTACACTACATGATTTGGCAACATGACCAAACTTATTTATTTCACGGGTCACACGACATGACCCATATGACAGATTTTGTTGGGTCGCCTTGTTTGACATGATCCATCTGCAACATTGAGGAAAAAAATAAAGTTGTATTTTCATTTTTATATGAGTTATGGAGTTTTGATTTTAGTCCATTTGTTAGTGTTCATCAATATGCAAGTAATTAAAAGGGTAATTCTCCAACTAAGGGAGGAGTGAAGTCTACATAAAGAGATTGTAATTTATATAAAGAGATTGTCATTTCGTACATCACACAAACAACCGCTAGTACATACTTTATGTAATCTATACATTTAGAGCAACGGAAGAAATCCCAAATCAATATGGATCATTAGATCACTGGGACTTATTAAAAAAATAGACGAAATTCACTCATCCAATAATTCATATTCATTTGGAATACCATTTGGGATTGATAGCATTTTCCATACATTTATGTATAATTGCAATAAAAGAGTTTTTGCTTTCCTCTCTAAGTCACTTCCATTGAAATACGCGTGAGCGATAATCTCCTATTCATTTCAACAAAAAAGAGAGATGGGAATGGTATGCTACCATTTCAAATAACCAAGTCCACCAAAGACAATTATGAGAATCGGGGCCTTGAGTAGGAGCAAGCAAATAAGAGATGTTGGTTAGGTTCTTCGGAATGGTTGCATAGGTTGCATTTAAGGTGGTGAATGCTACAACTTTAAAATTGATCACTTAAGTACAGGTTTTCGCAAAGTAATATAAAACTCAGAAGTCCAAGATCGAATAACAGGAAATTATGAAAACTCAAAACACAAAGAAAAATAAAACAAAATTGCTTTGAAAAAATTGTTGTAGAAATTTTAAAATTAGAAAAGAATAAATTTGGTTTTAAAACAATAATTGAAAATACTAAATCATCGGGATACTCTTTCAAGTCCACACAGTAATTATTAATGATCTGATTTTTGAACCCAATTGAGGAGTGATCTCAACTAAAATATTTAGCGGTAATAATATGAAAACATCAAAATTTATAATTAATGAATTATCTGAATAAATATAAAAAAAAATTTGTAGATCACAAACATTCACCGTGCTCGGAGTCTACAAATAAACTATATTTTATTGTAAATAATAAATCAACTATCTTATGAAAAATTCTAATTAATTAATTCAAGCATGAAATAACTAGTTATTTTACTCGCAGGAAATCTCAAGCATTCGATATACGTGGCACAACAAATCAAAAAATTATACAGAGCAAAAAATTACTAAGAGACAAAAATTAAATTAAAAGAATAAATCATACATTAAAAATAACATTAAATCAATAATAAATACCGTGTTTCATTAAAAGGATCTCCTCTATCTTTAGTTGAGCTTCTAGCAAGCCATAAAACTAAAACAAAAAATTAGAAAAGAAAAGATGAAAAAAAAGAATAATAATCATCAAAATCCTAGATGAAAACTTTTATTTATACTAAAAATAAATTATAAATATAGGTAGACGATAAAATCTTGGGGGCCGCGGGTACAAAATATGTCCAGACTTCGAGCTTGAATTTTTGCATCTTTAAAAGCTGAATCACGAAATTTTCTTAAAATACATTTTTGTAGCCCTTGAAATCTTCTTTCCAACCTCACAAAAATCATGTCAATCCTATATTATAGTCAAAAGTTATTACCAAAATACTGAAGACGTGTTAAATTCTTATCTTCAAGACACTTTCTCAATCCAACTTTAAATGAGTTTTTTTCAAACTTTAACTCTTATAATGATTAAATTGTTGATTTATCTTCAAGTCTTTCTATCTCAATCTTGACTCTTTAATCTTTATCAATTATGATTCTTCCTCTTGTAATTGTTTCACTTGTCTTATCCATTATTACTTTAAATCAACCAATTTATTTGCAAAATAAACCAAACAATTAGAAAAAGTATCAAACTAAAAAATCAAAGAATTTAACATATTTAATCACAAATAATATGAAATTAACCAATCTTTAAATATAATAAAATAACATTTTTTATGGTTAATCAGTGAACAATGGCAAACTACTTCTTGGCTACTTCTGCTTGATCAAGTAGCTAGTACAAACATGGAAGGTAAATCCATGCTCAGAACCCTTCAAAAGCTATGCCTCTCCGTAACTGTTTACTCCATTTGGAGAGAAGGAACTCAAGTCTTCATAGCCAACAATTCAGGAACTCCAAAATCATCTTGTAAGCTATTGTCCAAATTATTAGGGACATAATGCTTTCTCTTGAATTCAAGAACACTCCAAGGAACCAAAGGTTACTTCTAACTTAACAACTTCCCTGCTCATGCATACTATGATGTCCAAGCCTGATTTGCATAGAATGGTAAGGAACTAGGGCTAATTCAGATGGGGTACTCAGATAGGATTAGTATCACTATTGGGGATTAGTATCAACTTCCCTGCTCATGCATATACTTTTGCTCACTACTGGGGATACCCTCCCAATATTGATTATTTTGTTCACTAATGCTATTGAAAAATTATTGAGAGACATAATTTATGGACATAATGAATTGTGACAAATGGATGATAATTGAATGTATTTAAAGATAAGACTCATTGCTGCATTAAATTAATTCTACTATCACTCCATTAGTCACAATGTACTATATCCCTAAACTATGTCCCAATAAAAATACTCTATTTTGTTTTGAAGATGTACATCGCAAAATTTCCACATGAATGAAAGATTTATTTACTTTCTAAAAAAACTATGAGAATCAGGCCATTTTGAGGAATAGGGAGAAATTAAGAATCATCAGGTTGGATTTGATACATGTGATTCATTAATTTTTTGGGGGAATATAACGAGTTTATATGTTTTCTCTCAAACCGAGTATACAACGAGTATACATGTGTCGTACATGACCAATTCTATTTGAGATTCTAACTGTCATTTTCAATAGAGTAATGTTACATGGACTTAAAAGTAGACTTAAAAACTAGATTTGATAATCTCAACCATTGATTTCACTGTGGGTTCTAGTATTTATTGGGACCCACTACCTATTCAATTGTTGAGATTATCAAGTCTAATTTTTAAGTTCATCTAAATTACTCTTTTCAGTATGACCAATTAGTCTCTGAAACTTGAGGGATCAAAGTGATTAATTCCAATTCAATATCCAAGCTCTTTTTTTTGGCCTAAAAATTGTATAACTATTAACCATCCAATTCCAATACATGTGAGGCAAAGCCTTAAACAAAATACATTAGGCTCAGCCTAGTATAAAAATAATGTATAGAACATGAACACAAAAATACTCTACGAGATAGAATTTTGAAGGAAAAATAGGCCTTGAACTAGTACTTCCAACTGAACTCCACTTCGAGAGAGTATCACTTGACAGAAATCAAGCTCATGGAGCATTGGTAAATGTTCAACATCATAAAAAATTATTAGGAAGTTTACCCAAGGCAGCAACTGTGAGGCCCAAGAATTCACCAAGTGAGAGGTTTACACGATGCAACTGCTGGGTAGACACCAAGAGTGTAGCAGTTACCAATTTTAAGGAGAAGATTTGAACTTTGAAGATGTTAATCTGTCACTTACAGTTTGAAGTATCATGCACAATATTGAGTTGCTATTCTGACTTTGGTTGCTGAAGATCTGTTGTTCCTTTCTCGCCAACTGTAATAAACAGATGTTACAGTACTCAGCTTGATTCTCAAAGGCCGGCAGAGACTAGATCCGACATTTATACTACACGCCGTCTATACCGGCACCGAAAATTTCCTTGGCGTTTAATTCTTAAACGTCAGCTTTATTAGCCGGATTTAAGTGATTCAAGCCCCGAACATGTGTTTTCAATAGTTAATTCACAACCAACGAGAATTCATCTTCATAAGAATATCCGAATTTATGACTCTAGATTTGTCTTTTCTAATGTCCCTATCCCTAACCCCTAGAATTTGACCATTGAATAATTGGCTTACAGGTTGGAATGGAATGATGGGGATTTTTTTTAAACATTTCCTGGTAACAGATATTATGCTAAACATTTTTTTATTTGACCATCAACCATACATCTCCAATCAGCTCCATCTGAATTTACCATTAGATGAATAATTATGTTAGACGGTTTCTCTAATAACTTAAATTTTTAAGGTTATGTCAACCTATGGTAGCCCAACTTATTTACATATCCATCACTTTTGAATTTTCAATTTTATCTATTTCGATGTAGTTCTATTTAATCATCGAACTGATAAATTTATTAAGTACAATCAATACCTCTCATGAATCACATAATTAGAGAGTCGCTAAGATCTAATAACTTTAAGGGTATGTTTGGTTCGAATACAAATAAATGATAGGATTGGATAATTAGTTCTCATCCAATCCATAAAATGGTGTTAACTAAAGTACTATTTAATTTTATTCTTGTATAACATGTTTGGATCAAGGTTGTGATAATATATAAATCTATACTTATAATACTAAATTTATGTTTGGATTAAGTAATAGTATAAGATATTAAATTAAAAATAACAAAACAAATATTGAAGGTAAAAATTTACATAATGTGTAATTTTTATACGAAGGTGTGGCTCTAAGTTTGCAAGGATAATAAAGTCATTTCATGTTAATACTTGTTAAAAATAATACCATCTACTACATAGTATTCATTATTACCTAATATTAGGGGTTAAATGACAATAATAAACCGGATTAGAATTAATTAAAATTAATACTAGCTCAATATAACATCATCTAAACTTAGTATTATATTATTATTGGATTAAATTAATCCAATCCACCCCTTGATACCTAAATCGAACAAACAAACTCAAATGAACTTTAAAAAATTAAAGTTTTTAATATGAAATAAAGAGATTGAAAGAATCCCTATCTTCTTTTATGTGCTTTTTCTTTTTTTTTCCCTGCTGTCTTAATGGTTAAACTAACCTTGACAGCAGTACAATGTTTTAAGTGGAAGAAGTGATAATGCCACTTAAGGTATTTACAATAATATATAATCAGATTTGTATCATGTGCCTTTCATATATAGTTAAATAGTGTTTTGTCTAATCAAATTTAGGTTGATCCATTTATCAAACAAAATTACGGATAAATGCAATTTATGATGCAGAACCCATTAATTATATCCATATCCAATAAAATCATGGTGTTAGTAATTACTTTCTCATCTACATCTTGACAAAGCATCTTTAGTCTGTCTTTTTTATGTTTTTTCCCCCAAATTTCCAGAGTCTGCTGGTAATATAAATAAGGTTATTTGGTACCCGTTATTGTCACACACACACAAAGATGGTGAAGCTCTCTCTGGCTCTAATTCTCTGCTCAATGGCCTTAGCCATGCCGGCAGTGTACGGTATTGCCGAAGGTCCTAAAGAGGTTGAGGAGTGGTTCCAAAAGCTAAGCCATGCAAAGCCAAAGCTGACCAAACTTCACTTCTACTTCCTCCAAAAATTAAACGGGGAGAAACTAACCGCCGTAACGGTGGCCAAAGCCAATATGACCGATACATCACCCACCACCTTCGGTGTAATTAACGTGATAGATGATCCAATGACAGTTGAGCCACATTGGACTTCCAAGGTGGTTGGTCGAGCCCAGGGACTGTATGCCGTGGCATCCCTTGAGGAGGTGAGCCTATCCTGTTTCATTAACTTCGTCTTCACAGAGGGAGACTACAATGGCAGCTCTCTAACCCTAATGGGTCAGAACCCACTGCGGCATCCTGTGCGTGAGATGTCGATCATAGGTGGGTCTGGTGTTTTCCGAATGGCTCGTGGAGTTGCTACGTTTGCGACCTTATTCTTCGATGTTCCTGCTAAAAATGCTACTGTGGATGTCAATATTGTGGCTTTGCACTATTGAGTTATGGCGGTCTGAATTTACTTTTTCTTTGTTTTCTGGGTTGGTGATCTTCAATATTGAATCGTAATATGTCTAGCCTGTTCAAAGTCTGCAGTGATCTCTTTGTTATGCCTGTCTGTGTTGCGTTACTATTAGACAAGAGTGAGGTTTTACAACATTTGTGGGTATTGTGTAGGCCTGTGTAACTCTGTTGGAGCTAAGTTATTATAGCGCAACCGTTATCCCATGTTAAAACAGAATTATCACGTGGTATAATTGTCTAATGATAATTCATTAAATAAAAATAAATAAATTTCACTCATTTAAATGACTACTCAGCCATCTTTGATAGTAATCACCCGATTCACCCCATGTGAAAAAAGTGGATCACTTTGTCCACTTGTTTATTTAATATTGAACATCCACTTGTTTATTTAATATTGAACAGTATTGTGATTTGTGTGCAATGAAGAATCAAAGAAACAAAAAATTAGAAGATTAACAAAAAAAATTTACATAATTCAGTAATTTGTCTACATCTATGAAAAAGCGGCTGCCTTATTTTTATTCTACATTAAAAACAAGGTTACAAGTTAATATATATAGGTTATAACCTAATTAAGGCAAATTCCGAAAAAGCTCTCCTACAACTAGCTCATTATCTTTGAATATGGTATATCTCTCTATATGTTACACCAATATTTAACCGCCACAACAGTGGTCAAAGCCAACAGGACGGCCACTTCACCAACCCAGTTCGGCTTTCTCAACGTCGTCGACAATCCGTTGATCTTTGGGCCTCTAATATCTTCCACGCCGGTGGGCCGATCCCAGGGACTGAAAGCTTCATCCTCCCTTGAGACAGTGAGCCTATTTTGTGCCCTTAACTTTATCTTCACAGAGGGAGAGTACAATGGCAGCTCTCTAGCCGTACTGGGTCAGAACCCGTTGCGCCATCCAGTCCGTGAGCAACCGATCATCGGTGGTTCTGGTGTTTTCCGTCTGGCTCGTGGAATTGCTACGTTTGTGACCTATTTCTTTGATGTTCCTGCTAATAATGCTTCTGTGTGGACGTGACTGCTATGGTTATGCACTATTGAGTTCGGGCAGCCCCAATTTCTTTTTCTTTGTTTTCTCGGTTGGTATGGTCTTCTCTTCCATCTAATTCGGTTAAAATTTATTTTTCATTATCATAAGATAAATAAATGATGTCAAATTTTTAGGTAGCGTGAACGGGAGCGATAAATTAAAAATAGAGCAATACTACATGAACTTAAAAAGTAAACTTAAAAATTAGACTTGATAATCTCAACCATTGATTTCACTGTGGGTTCCAGTATTTATTGGGGCTCACTACCTCTTCAATGGTTGAGATTATCAAGTCTAATTTTTAAGTTTATTTTTTAAGTTCCTCTAATATTACTTTTAAAACTATTATATGAAAAAAAAAAAAATTGGATGGAGAGAATATATCATGGTAGGTATTTTGGTAGCTACAAATTTATAATATGCTGGCCTAACCATGCATGGGAACAAGAAATTAAGCCTTTTATATAAAAAGAATAATCAGATGGAGAGAATCATTCTCGGTGTATAGCTATCTATAATTTGATGGTGCATATTTTTAGCCGAATGAGGACATTAGAGGCTCATAAATTAAACTCAATGGGATTATATTATAGTTAGGAATAAAGTGACAGCGTTTTTATTTTCGTCTTCTACCACTACCATGTGCAACAATGCCTTCAATACTGTCACAAAAATTCTCCTCCTCCTTGTCCACACCAACAAAATCAATATTGAACAGAGAGATGCATTTTGATCATGTGTATCCTCTAGGCATCGTTTTGTCCATCACAACCCCGTGTGTTTTGCTCACAAACAAACGAACAACCATACATGGAGAAGCTACCAAGTACCAACCATTCTAATACTTTGTTCAACGCAATTAAAATTTCAACTTATTGTAAGACACCTTTTAATCCAAAAACGGGGACATTCTGCCCTCTTCGCTGCTCAGAGAGAGAGAGAGAGAGAGAGATGGCGAACCTAATTATAGTTATGTTAATTATTGCTTCATAACAATAGCCATGGCAGTGGTTCAGGGCATTGCTGAAGAGCCAAAAGCAGTGGAACAATGGTTCTCGAAGCTCGGCCACGACAATGAAAAAGTAACAAGACTTCACTTCTACTTCCATGACATACAAAAGGCAAGAATCCAACTAATGTTCCAGTGGCCCAAGCCAATTCTACCTCCACATCACCCACCTCGTTCGGGAACAACTTCGTCACAGACAATCCATTTTTTTAGGGGGAGGGGGAAGGGGATTGGAGGACTTGATCTCTTGATTTTAAGAAGACAAAGTCTTTACAGACAACTCATTGCCGTTAGATCCTGAACCCAATTCGCAGATTGTGGATCGAGCTCAGGGATTGTTCGGTTCAGCTGCGCTGGACGAAATTAGTCTACTTATGACCATGAACTTTGTGTTCACACAAGGGGAATACAATGGTAGCACTCTCAGTCTGCTTGGAAGGAACGCAGTGTCCCATCTGTACCGTGAAATGCGGATCGTCGGCGGAACTGGTGTTTTCCGATTAGCCCAGGGAATTGCTTCGGCAAAGACGGCTTCTTTCAGTACTATCACGGGTCTGTTGGTTGAGTACAATGTCATGGTCATTCATTATTGATTGCACAGTTGCATGGTTTTGTTTTTGTTCACCTGACTGCATATTTCTTTTGTTTAGTCCATGCTTTTGTATTGTTTGTGAACTGTTGTGAGAGATGTGCTGTGCCATTTTTTGTTGAATGTTTCAAGATTCACATCTCTGTAAGTGCCATCTTTGAGGAGTTATGCCTTCCCAGATCCTTTGTGTAATTGTGTGTGTGGAAAAATGGAAGTTGGTAGTAAGAAGATCAGATGTTATTTTTAAGCATATTCCTCGAAATTTTGGAAAGTGACTATAAACAGTTTTGAGTGACAGCCCAGAAAGAGGGTATTTTTACCAAAAGTTTGGTGAAATTTTCAATATTGAATCAAATAGTTATATTAGTGGGTCTCGTTGATTTTCACTAGTCATATATTAGTGGGTCTCTCCATTTTCTGTGAAAAGGGGACAGAAAACGTAATTTCATTCTCAAAGGGGATTTTTGTTTTTTTTCCTTCCTATTTTTCTATTTTTTTAGGGTTCCATCAATAACAAAAGAATGATTTGAAAAAAAGGGAACAGAAAAAGCTTCGTTGATGTACCGACCAAACAAAGATAAATTTTTTTCAGAACGTGCCAATATAAGTTTTATTTCTTACTTTACTCTTCTTGTTCTACACTAGCAATCCTTCCCTCCCTAGGTACTCAAATAAGAATTTCCTGTTTGAGGTCTTTAATGTTTGCGGTGACGTTGTTGTACCTTTGTTTTATGAATCTGTCGGGCTTTTTATTGTTAGACAAAAGTGTGGTTAGTCATCATTTATGTGTAGCCTACTGTATGTCTAGAGGGAGCTACGTTATTATGTGTCACTAGCCTAATTAACTATTACTTTTAATATCATATCAAAAGTAATTTAGAGTTCAATAGTCTTACCAAGAAAGGATATGCTTATAACAATTTTTAAGGATTGCAGAAGTAGGCATTGTATGGGTAAGGTCAAGTGCAATCTACTTTATATTGGGCAAATATTCTACTCTAAAAATTAGTATATTTTGAATAGATGCTTGTGCATTATTAATCTTTCAATTTCGAAGAGATATATTCTTAAACATGTTGTAAGATGATTAAAAAATCAGAGTAGTTCGAGCTCTATTTAGGAAGTGACTTAATAGCAAAGACAATCATAAAAACCTGAAAAATAAGAGCCAGCCAAACTCCTGGGATATAAACCAATTCTCATACCTGAATTTTGACGAAAGATGATGAGAGAGAGAAGGGGGGGTAGCTCCAAGAGAGTTACCTAATTCACATAAATGTTTTTTTTTTTTTGAAAGTAAAATTTTAATTGATCAAAAAAAGTGAACAAGAGAAGGGAATGACCCTTACAAAAACAACATGGGCCATTCCAGACCATGTCAAAAACCCAAAAGATAAAACTAACCATGAGAAAAGAACAATAGTCATACAACAACAAGAACAATAGAAATGCCCAGGAGAAAAAATTTAGTAGGAAGTGGAGGCCTTGAGCTTAAACTTCCATCTAAATTTCTCACCATAGATCCAAACAATTAGAGAAAACAAAAAATCCATATTTGCAAATGTTGTGATTGTGCAGTAATTATGGTGAATAATAAGGAATCAATTAAGAAAAAAAGGAAAAATAACACAGAGATTTACGTAGTTCGGCAATGTGTCTACATCCACAGGAGCTAGCGACTGTTCTTTTTTTTTCATTATTCAAAGTAGGGTTACATCTTAAGTATTTATATAACCCTAGTACGGACGTATTTACAAAAATACTCATGTACCGTACCTCGGAGACGTTGCCTCCGCACCCCCAACTAATCAGCGTCCCCCCATACATAAAATATATTAATCCCACAAAACAGATGCCGTCGCGGGCTCAGCTCCGCCCGCTCCGGCATCTACCTCCTTGCTATTGTGCACACAGTAAATATGAGTCACACATACTCTAACAATCTCCACCTTGGCAAATATTCACTCCTAAGGAAAAAAAAAGAGAACATGTATCCGAGAATTCCATCGGGGACGCTAAGTTGGGGCATCTCTCATCTAGTAACTGGAGACATTAATCAAGTCCAAGCAATGCTTGGACTTGTCTGTAGTAACAGGCTTTGTCAACATGTCTGCTGCATTCTCAGAAGTGTGAACTTTCTCAAGTAATAGTTCACCAAAAGAAATCAGCTCCCTGATCTTATGAAACCTCACATCTATGTGCTTGGTCCTCGCATGATACACCTGGTTCTTTGCTAAATAAATGGTACTCTGACTGTCACAATGCAACTGAACTCCACCTTGCTGGGCACTCAGCTCCTTGACCAAACCTGTAAGCCACAAAGCCTCCTTGGCAGCCTCAGCTACTGTCATATACTCTGACTCAGTAGTAGATAGTGCAACTATAGGCTGTACCATGGACTTCCAACAAATAGGTCCTCCCACAAGAGTAAACACATAACCTGTGGTAAACCTATTGTCATCCAAGTCCCCTGCATAGTCTGCATCCACATATCCCACAACTGAAGGGTCACTCTGTTGTCTGCTAAACATGATGTCATAGTCTATAATGTCCCTCAAGTATCTGAAAATCCACTTGACTGCATCCCAATGTTGTCGACCCGGATTTGAAAGAAACTTGCTAACCACGCTGACAGCTTGTGCCAAATCTGGTCTTGTACAAACCATGACATACATCAAGCATCCCACTGCACTAGCATATGAGACCTTTAACATGTCATGAACTTCATCATCTATCTTCGGGCACTGAGCGGTAGATAATCTGAAATCCAACACCTTCTCAACATAGCTATGCTGAGATAGCCATAATCTCCTGGAACTTCTGTCCCTGCGAATCTCCATCCCAAGAATCTTCTTAGCCACACTCAAATCTTTCATGTCAAATTATCTGCTCAACAAAGTCTTCAACTTGTTGAGCTCACGCATACTCTTGGCAGCAATCAACATATCTTCCACATAATGTAACAGAAAAATAAATGAATCATCATCAAGCATTTTCACATAGACACAACAATCATACTCACACCTTTTGTAGCTAATCCGGATCATGTAAGAGTCAAATCACGGAGACTACTTCAGCCCATAAAGTGATTTCTTCAAATTACAGACCAAATGTTCCTCTCTAGAGAGACTGAACCCTTCTGGATGTACCATGTAAATCTGTTCCTCCAAGTCGCTATAAAGGAAAGCTGTCTTTACATCCATCTGCTCCAATTACATATCTGAATGTGCTACTAGTGCCAACACTGTCCTGATGGAAGTGTGTCTGACCACGGGGGAGAAGATCTCATCATAGTCAACCCCTTTTCTCTATGAGTAACCCTTTGCTACTAGACGAGCCTTGAATTTTTCCCCCTCCTTTTCTGATACTGTTTCTTTCTTCTTATACACCCATTTGCACCCTATCGCTCTCTTTCCCTCGAGAAGCTCCACCAACTCCCACGTCTAGTTCTTATGCAGAGACTCCATCTCCTCCACCATAGCACCCATCCATCTACTTTTCTCTTGGCTTTGTACTGCCTCTTGAAAAGTTGTAGAATCCCCGCTACTAGTAATAAGCGCATAAGAAACCAAATCTTCAAAATCATACCTGGTAGGCGACTTGATATTGTGTTTGGGCCTGTCACTGGCTATATTGTGATGTTGCTGATCACCTAAGATAGAACTCTCTACATGCTGAGCATCCTCTTCTCTACCATGGTTCTCTAGCTCCACCTGCACCACATGCTCATTAGTGCTACAGTTTTCTGGCACTTGTTTCTCTACTTCCTGAGTACACTGCAACATAGCTTTTTCATCAAAAACCACATCTCTACTGATCACCATCTTGTTTACCTTCAGATCCCAGAGCTTGAAGCCTTTCACCCCTTTCTGATATCCCAGAAAGTTACACTGTCTAGACTTCGCATCAAGCTTCGACCTCTCCTCACTAGAAACATGTACATAGGCTGGACATCCAAACACTCTCAAATCAGAGTAGTCTACCTCACTGCCTGTCCACACCTCCTCTAATACTTTCCCATCTAGTGCTGCCCTCGATGATCTGTTAATCAAGAAACATGTCATATTCACTGTCTCTGCCCAGAAATTCTTTGTAAGCCCTGCATTCAACCTGAGACACCGAGCTTTCTCAGCTATCGGTCTGTTCATCCTTTCCGCTACACCATTTTGTTGTGGTGTCTTGCGGACTGTGAAGTGTCTCTTGATCCCATGCTGCTCACACAACTCCTGGAACTTTGAATCTGTACTCAGTACCATTATCTGATCTGAGGCATTTAATCTTCCTCCCTGTCTGGTTCTCTACTTCAGCTTTCCACAGCTTGAACTTGGCAAACGCTTCGAACTTGTGCTGCATGAAGTACACTCAGACCTTTCACGAGTAGTCATCAATGAAACTCACGAAATACATGTATCCTCCCCGTGATACTACGCTAACTGGTCCCCAAACATCTGTATGGACATAGTCGAGAATTCCCTCTGTCTTGTGTGTGGCTGTCTTGAACTGCACTCTGTTCTGTTTTCTAAGAACACAATATTTGCAAAAATTGAGCTTGCATGTCTTGACACCCTTCAATAGATTTTTCTTATGAAGCTCTATCATCCCACGCTCACTCATATGACCCAGCCGCATATGCCACAAGACTGTACTATATGATTCAGACTCTACAGCAGCAATTCCACCTACAATCGTAGTACCCAGCAGTCTGTAAATGTTTCCTGCTACTTTTTGTCCCTTCATCACTGTCAGCATGTCTTTACTCACTTTCATTACTCCACTTATAGATTTGTAACTATAACCATTACAATCTAAAGTGCGCAATGAAATTAGATTCTTCCTTAGATCCGATACATGTCTAACATCACACAACGTTCTAACCACACCATCAAACATCTTAATTCTAATATTCTCTATTCCAACAAATTTGTAGGATGCATCGTTACCCATCAGAACAGAACCAGAATTTACTGACCTGTAGGTGTCAAACCAATCTTTATTGGGTGTCAT